CGACCTATGTATTTGTTTCCACAAATACACTCAAATTGGTATACGCAGGCTGATTGAAGTGTCGAGGATTGGCGACTGGTATTCCCAGACTGCTGAAGCACTCGCTTAGTGGTGTTAAGGATAACAAGTTTTGCAGCATAATAAGTTCTCTTGCTGGATTTGTCGAGTCTTCATTTGACTACTTCCTGTGCATCATCTCCTTTGAACGGAACTGTTTGGATTGTTTTGAGGGGCTAATTTCTTTAGAGTATTTATCAATGAACTTCTCAGGATATCCTTCAGAGCTTTTATTTCATGCTGAATTGTACTGTCAGAAAAAATTTTCCGTGCTCTGTTGAACAGTGTTCTGACTAAGTTCTTTTTATACTGCATTGGAACAAAGCTCTTGAAATGCATGTACTGTCCTGTCCATTCGCACCTGTCTTTCTGCATGACTAATTCAATGTAGTTTATTTACTTATCAGTCTTTTATCTCTCAATGTAATTTCAAAAGTATACATATGTATATATATTCGTGTATGTAGAGTTTTCAGCTGACGAGTTCTACTGAAATTTGATGAATTCATTAAATCCTGCCTAATTGACCTTTGTTGCTTGTTTTAAATTCGTATCGGGAAATAAATGTTTTCAATTACATTGATTGGTGACCAGGGAGTAACCAATATCGTACCTCTGGACTTTGATTTTAGTACTGAATAAAATCTACCAGTCAAATTCATACTGTGGTTATCAAGGTATGTAAGTAACTTTCTATCATTAGTGGTGAGTTATAATCTTAGTGGAGACATCAATTCATTCAGAGTTTTACAGCCGCCTTGATGATGAATGCCAGAAGCATGAAATTTCACTCCTGGGTTTACTGTCGACTGCCTCCAATCCTTTACGCATATTGAGGATTAACAATAATATCAGTTCTGGAATTTCTAGAGAATTTTTCATCTAATCAGTGTGGATTTAATGAAGGTAAAAAAGATTATGGATTTGGTGAAATTAGAAATGTTTTGATTATGGATAAAAAATACTGAAGATACATCTCCCTCTGGAACTGTTTGTACAAATTTATTGCCTATATAGACTTAGCTTTTAGACCTGATATAAAATGAGAAGGAAAATGGGAAATCAATAAACAATTAGTCATTCGATATTGAAGACTGATTGTATAAGCAAAGCATACTTTATTGATGATTACACTTTAAACTGGGACTATATGTTAATTCCCATAAAACAAATTAAATCACTGAAAACTGTTAAACTCTTCTTATCTTCTATACTTAACGGTCATTTCTCGTTCATAAACAAGGACGGAACAAATTGATGCATGCCACATATGCTTCTATTAATAACTGGCAGGGTACCAATCTAGTTTCAACGGTTGGAAGTTCAAGCCAAGCTAGCATTTTGAATTCATGGTGAAACTTAGTCATATATTATCGATTAAGACCGATGTAACTGCCTAAATGAGTGAAGTGGTATGTTAGTATTTATCCTCCAAGTATACTACTTTTACCACAACTTACATATATATGTATATTTAATGGATTCACCGCTTAATTCAAGAAATGAGACTGAAAAATACCCTTTAGCGTTACCTGTAATCTAATTATTGAAAAATGAAGAAATCAGCTGCATATATTTAATTCATTTTCTATAGTTTGGTTTGTAAGGGTTAGATATGTTTTTACGAGTTGATCACGGACTGATATCAGTTAGAGAACCATTGAAAACCAGCAATGGAGTACTGGACAGCTGCTGTTTCATCCTAGTTTGGGAATCATCGGCAGTACGCACCCACTGGGATTTGAACCAAGGACCTTCCGGTTACAAGGCAAGCTGGCTCGTATACCATTCAGCCACTGGGACCCGATTCAATGGCTCATGAATTCTAACTTCTACCAATCGAACACAATCTACTATGGTTCATTATCATTTCATCAGTTATAATCACACAACTTAAAAATTTCATTTTATCATTTTCTTTATTCTTTCCTATTTGCCTTATCTGGGACAGGTGTTGAATCATTCCTATTCCACGTGTTTGCAGTCGGTTCGATAAATAAAACTTCCGTTATCAACCCCTCACTCCATCCTGTTACAATAGATTTTATAACTGTCATCTTATTCCATCCTATTGTATGGTTGTGTGTAATTGCATGTAGTGAGTGCTATAGCTGAACTATTCTGTAGATTTCTTATCTTATTCGGGTCAACTAACCTAGATTTTGATGACACTAGATGGTTGGAGGTAATCGAGAGGAAGCCTTGGTCCTAGGTTTCATTTGGCACTCGTCAGCAAGGCGTATCCGCGTCACCCAGTGCTGCAGACAGACACGTTACCACTGATAGAATTCAGTCTGCACCGAACAAAGGACTAGACACATCACACTAGTTACTAGTGTCCAATCAAAATAATCTAGATTTTGCTAGGTTTTTATGCTCCGCTAGTCTGACTGACTGCCCCTGTTCTACTACTTTGACCTATGTATTCAACATGACGATCATTCCAGCAGGGTATTAGATAAACTACATTGTTTCGTTTAATGGGCTCCACAGGTTTGATCCTTTAACCAACAAAGCTTGAATTAGAAAGTAAAATGTGAGTTGCAATAGGTTAGTCTGATTGGGTCAGTATCGAGGTTTTATTTTTTAACTCCACTTATCAGCTCTGTAACATTAACATCACTCTGACAGGCCAGTGTCTTACAGTTTCACCATTTAATGTGCAATTGTGTACTTTATGTTGAGTAGTTTACTGAGGTGATGATGACAAATTTTTTTTTAATTAGAACTTATTTTAAACAGAATGGTTCTAAACACCTTACTAATTGGTTACTTGATCAACTAACAAACTGAAGGTTATGATTTTGACCTTTGACGGCATCGTGAGAGAATCCGGCGAAGAAGTCCCAAACCGCAGCCTAACAGCTGTTCAAACCTCCAATGTTCTTATCAATCCTTAAACTAAACTTGTTTTTCGACAAAATGTATTTCGAAGTATCACTTACTCATAATCAAAATTTTACTAAAGGATCAATCTTATACTTCGTAGAAACGTTTGTAAATGTTCTGTAATGAGATTTCACATTTCTGTTTGTTAGCCTAATGACCTCAGTTTGTCTTTAGTACTAGCATCATTTTCGCTCAGAAAGCAAATTACTTGTTGAAATATAGTGTACATTTTGGATTTAATAAAGGCTTATTTGCAGTTATCATGTCGATATTTAGACACATTTTGTCATGAAAGTTTTTTCAGTCGTATATAGCTCAGAAGTAATTTGGTGGATCATGACCAGCAATGAAATCCAGGATACCCATTTCGTCCTATTTGGGACTCGTCATATGGTTTTACCTACATTCTCCAATGAGTAATGGTGTTCCCACTGAAGCTCGAACCTTGTACCCATAGTTTAAAACATCGGAGCGTCACGAGAGCCACATACTGAGTAACGAGTATTAGTTACTGTTTACTTCGATTTGGACTTTCCCGTTGAGTGACTGAACCAATGTGCTTGACCAATGTTTGAGCCTCATTGGAAACACCATCACTCACTGGAGAATGCAAGTACGTCTCGACGACGAGTCCCAAATAGGAAGAAATGCGCATCCTGGATCCCACTGCTAGTCACTCGCAGAAGGAGCCGACATATCAATACAGGTCGAGCACTTCGGTCCAATCAGTCAACGGGAAAGTTTAGAATGAATTAAATCGTCAGTACGCACCCACTGGGATTCGAACCAAGGACCTTCCGGTTACAAGGCAAGCTCGTATACCATTCAGCCATTGGGACCCGATTCAATGGCTCATGAATTCTAACTTCTACCACTTCGTGATTTAGCGCGACCCCAACCATTGTCGTTGGTGGGACATCCATCCACACACGTGAAAACTAATTGGACCTCACTGGTCACGACTTCTCACTAGAACTCCAGGAAACTCCATTCTGTAGCAAGTCACTAGTGAGCATCAGATTAATTTTCTATAGTTTGGTTTGTAAGGGTTAGATATGTTTTTACGAGTTGATCACGGACTGATATCAGTTAGAGAACCATTGAAAACCAACAATGGAGTACTAGACAGCTGCTGTTTCATCCTAGTTTGGGAATCATCGGCAGTACGCACCCACTGGGATTCGAACCCAGGTAGAAGTTAGAATTCATGAGCCATTGAATCGGGTCCCAGTGGCTGAATGGTATACGAGCCAGCTTGCCTTGTAACCGGAAGGTCCTTGGTTCAAATCCCAGTGGGTGCGTACTGCCGATGATTCCCAAACTAGGATGAAACAGCAGCTGTCCAGTACTCCATTGCTGGTTTTCAATGGTTCTCTAACTGATATCAATCCGTGATCAACTCGTAAAAATATAAGTAATCTATTATTTTGATATTTGACATTAAATTATAAATTGGAAAATGTTTTGCATCAGGTACTCGTTTGGACAGCTGTATAGTTCATACTACTCTGTTACAGTAAATGTCTCTTCATAGTCTGACCTAGTTAGGCCTCATACTTCAAGTTTAAACATATAAAATGACATCAATAATGCATCACATTTAACTTGTGTCTCACTGGTGGTTATTCAAACTGTGGGTATTTAAAGGTGTGCATTATTATCACCCTTTCAGATCATTACATTAAGAATAAAGTATCTGGTTTACCTATTTTTATATTATCATTTTTATTCCCTTAGATTCCGAGTGGAACGTAGGGCTTCAACAATGCATCTCCAACTTGTTCTATTTTCTACTGTCCTCTTCATCTGACTAGCTCCACGACTGCCCATAATCTCTCATCTCCTCCTTACCACATGATCTCCTCCATGTCATCCTCTCACAGACGACCCGATCATCGTTTCCCATTGGGATTCCACTCAAGAGACAGCCTGGCAATGTAGCGATGTCATTCTACAGCCTCAAAGTGGTTTACCTATACTACTTAATATAATTTTAAGATTATATTAAATTAGAAAATTTCACTTTATATTTTCGCTTTACTTCTTTCCCTAAGGTACGTATGTGGGCTACAAATATGGATCATTTATTTCGTGATGAAAATGGTAGGAAATGGTTAGAATATTTTATGCAAAAAGAGTATAGTTGTGAAAATATGCGTTTTTTACAAGAAGTGCATAACTATAAATTTGGACCATTATCAAATGTTGAAAAAGAATCAAAACGTATCTACACTGAATACTTAGCTAAAACTGGTACTAGCGAAATTAATATTGATAATTATACATTAACAGTAACTGAAGAATTATTAAAGGTGAGTTTCTGTCAGTATTGCTTGTATGAATAGATATCATTTTTAAAGCTCAGTAAACAGTTTCATTCTAAACCCCCCTTAAGATTATTTATTATTATTATTCCCTTGGATTCCAAGTGGAAGACAGGACTCTGGTTTCACTTGTCCATTCCATTCTGTTCTCTGCAGTCTTCTCGGCTGACTTCACAATCGCCCTCGAGGCCAAGAGAAGCTCACCGCTTCCCACTGGGGTTCTATTTGACTGCTTGTCTCTTGGTATCACTCAGCGGTCTCCTCAGAGTGTAATCGGTCCATCTCCATTTTCTTCGACATATTTGTTGAGCAAGAGGTTCGTGGTTGGTTCGTCACCTGCCAAAGTCTCTTGTTAATGATGCTTTCTGGCAATCTGATCTTCAGTGTGAAGCAAAAACAGCAATAAGCTGACGCACCAAGTCTTTGAACCATATAAAATAACTCACGTGACATTAGTATTAAAAATCCGTATCTTTTTCTATTGTAAATTGCAGCAGATTTCCAAAATGATTTCACTTTAATGAAGGCTTGTCTTTTTATTCTGATTTAACGTTCGACGTCCTCATCCATGTCACCTGTAGTTAAAACGATGCTGCCAAAATAGATGAGAGAGGTGACCGCCTTCAGATTTCTCCCGCTGATAGTGAGTGGGAGTTGTTTTTGTTGGTGGTGATGGTGGTTAGGTAATTTCACCACCTCTGTCTTCCTTATGTTCACTTGGAGTCCGCTCTTCGATGCCTGCCTTTGGTTTCCGCATGTGAATCTTCGAGTTTGTGTGACTTTGCTTCAGAATATCCCCATTTAGACATTTGAAAAAACAGAAAGATTGAGCGAAGAAATATTTACTTTTCAATTAGGTCCTCTTCTATGGCTCTACTCTAATATATATAGCATTTTTTACAATATACAACAATTTACCAAACACGTGGCGATATGTTTGTTAACAATAATTAACCAGTGTCAAAATGTCAATGAGTAGATAATTAAGGAAAAAAATTAATACACACAATTAAAAGGTAGAAATGGATAGAATAAATTAATTTTACAAGAATAACACGTGATTAAAGATGAAGTGGTCAAAATAATTTGGACAATTATCATTTAATTTTACAAGAATAACACGTAATTAAAGAAGAAGTCAAAATAAAAATAAAAATAATTTGGACAATTATAATTTAATAGGGGGAGGGGGGCGACGTAGTCCTGTCTTGTAATGATGGCCACGGTAAGCAAAGTGGCTGTACAAGTTTCTTCTGTACACATAGGCTTGGTTTCTTCTGGTGGATTCCAATTGCTTCAGCTGTCTGTAAAAGACGAAATCTTAGAGCAAAGTTAAGATTAGTTGGAATACGATAAATAATTTTAAATGCAGTATTCACATCGACCTTGTGCTCAGTATCAACAAGGTGTGCTAAAATAGAACTACGAAGAGATTTTATTTGTCCCTTGCTTAACCACGCTGGATGATGTTCAGAAATACGACGATGAAATTGCCTAATTGTACGCCCAATGTAGCTGGCTCCGCAGCTGCAGTCAAACTGGTAGACACACATACAAGAGGCAAATTTAGGTAGTTTATCCTTATTTCTCGAACATAGAATAAGGGTGGTTTTGAAGAGACAACGTACTTCTGCTGCATAATAAGCTCTTTTAACTGCATTCATTAAGCGCTGTGTTATGATTTCACTGATGTTGTCACCGAGGAACTGCAATTTTATGAACATTGGCTTTTTTGAAACTGTAGCGATACTGGCCCTCTTTGAAATATAAACTTAACCTGGTAAAGTGTTTGGTTCATAGAGCTAAGTTAATATGTTCAGACGACTACCTCAATGAGGAGCTTAAGATTATTAAAGAATTACTTAGAAAAAATGGTTATCCAGATAAATTTATTGAGAAGAATATGAATTCAGCACCAAAGAGGGCTTGTCTAGTGATGTCACTTGATGGATTGTTTCCTCAGAGTATGGCCAGCCAATCCATCTCCATTTCTTCCTGCCTATTTGTTTCACAATCGGTTCCTGCTGTGTTGGTTCGCTCCCAGAGATCTCTGTTGCCGATCTTTTCTGGCCATCTGATCTTGAGTATGGAGTGAAGACAGCTGTTGATGAAGGTGTGTAGTTTGTTTGAGGTGCTCTTTATGACGCACCAAGTCTCTGATCCGTATAGTAGCACTGACTTCACATTGGAGTTGAAAATCCGGATCTCATTTTTGATGCTGAGTGCTGTTGATGTGAGGTGTATCATCGTCCTCAAATATAAGTTTTAAGTAAAGTTTGCAAATGAAAGACAGCTAGAGGGAGTTCAGATGAAGATATGCCTTCAACTGACATAGACCTGAACTGATAATATGAACCATGTGATCTTCAAGATGTAACAAATCACTAGGTGAAAATTCTCTATAACTTCGTCCAAAGTTGATCGTCAAAGATGATGTAAATTTAATCATTATGTACCCATCTAACAATCACATCCCTCCTCTCTTTATAATCAATATTAATGATTACGATAAAACGGATAGAATGAGACGTAATCAGACTATGGTATCAAGAAACACAATTGAATTACACTGTTCTATTATGAGAAGAAATGCTGAGGGGGATTTGAAGCTTAGGTGGATGATATTAGCGTTGTTTTGCTCTCTGAGCTATATGGTTTCATTGCGAAGCTTTCGTCCTGTTTCTAGACAACATCTTTAGCGCTTACTTCAATTTGAGGTGAACTTTTAGAATTCCTCCATGCGTTTATTAACCTTCTCTCTTGAAGGTCACAAAGGCAGTCAGTTGTTTACCAAGACTTTCCCTCACCCTTGTCCACTTTTGTTTGTATTGATTATTTTGTTGACCTTTTCGCCATTTCACTATCTTTCCATTGCCTCAAATGTCCCACTAAAATACTGAGCAAATGTACAAAACCTGAAGACAGTGGTTGAGCCAAAAATTATTAAAACGAAATTAATTCCAACTCGTTAATTGTTTTCTTAATTGCTTTACGTTCCCATTGAAAACACGGGGCTTCAAGCTAGAGCTTTGAAGTTTCGGTAGAAATGGTGTTTACTTCTTCGGGACGGAGTAGCTAGCCACATGCCTAACCTTCCTTCTTTATCGGGATTAATCCCGCCCAGGCAAGGTAAAGGAGTGCGTACGCCGGTGATCGAACTCCGATCCACATGCGTGGCTGGCGAGCATTCTACCGCTGTGCCACCGACGAAGTATAGGTAGCTATGCTCAATACTGAACTTCAAATAATTGTACAGTTTCATTATGCTTAATGTAAAAGGATACTTCTGATATTTCCATTGGAGTTATGCCAATCAGCTAGATCAGAAACGACTGAAAGAATTGGAAAACATTTAGCATAGCAAAAAACTAAAACTGTGTATTCATGTGAAGTATTTCAGGCGTCAGAATTTATCCGCTATTATTCACACTGCAGGCAAATGCAGATTGCATGCATCTCCCACACTAGAGCAATACGAACAAACAGATTATAGCCTCTATCAAAACAGCTCTGTATATGATTTTTCAACTGAGAATTCTCAGACATACAATTTGCTGATTAAGATGTCAAAGCCAGGATCACAAAAGCAATATCGGTTTGAATATCTACATCACTCGGTACGAGGCACAACACCCGAATTCTCAACCCTAATATTAAGTGCTTCTATATGGTTCATAAAGTTGGCACATGAGTCACCGGGATCACTCCCAATAGTCTGTTGTGAACTTTCATCAACTCATGTCTTTCCTGTCTGTACAATGAAGATAAGGCAGCCAATCAGAAAAAATAGGTAGGCAATAAGTTACTTTGGCGGGGAATCATTTAACAGTCTATTACCCAAAAACTATGCAGACGAATATTGAGACCGACTGAACAAACGCTGTGAAGGGACTGTTGAATGAAATCACATGCCAGGTATGCTATCGAGTGAAATCCGAATGAAAACGACGAGTTCGACGTTCGATAGTGATAATGAGGAGATCATGTGAAGTGGACAGTCAGTGAGTCCGTTGACTGTAACATCAGAGAAGAGAATGGAAGGAGAGGTGCCATCGAAGCCACATATTCCACTCGGAACTCCACGAACGCCTAGTAATAATTTATATGAGGCATAAAAAGTGATGATTTACACGAAGTTCAAAGTAACCTTAAGATCGGGATGAATGCTCGACTGCTGAAATATAATAATAATGGTAATAATCATAATAAGGTTTAAAAGAATAACAAATCTTAGAAAAGTAATGCTGAATGTCTATTCAAGTTGAGCAATTTTAGAATGATTAACGAAAAAAATGATTTCCGCAGACTTAAAAAATATGAACGAAGTATTGGAAGATAACAAACCCAAAACTTGAAATCAAATAACTTACTGTTGATTTCGCTAAGCTATGTAACAAACGAGCATGGCTGAAAAGAATAGGCATGAATTACCAGAAGTTAAAATTTGTGTCACTGGACTGTATTCCAATAGTTGAATGGTCAACCAGCCGACCAGGCAACCAAAATGCTCTGGGTTCGACCCCTGATGGGGTCATAGGTACATAGCAATGAGGAGTCCCAAACTCGGTGGAAACGATTTTCCAGGACTCCCTGGTTTACAATGATTCTCTAGCTGAAGTGAATTCGTGATCTAACTTGATGGAAATAAAAGTTTGGCAGACGTTTTCTGAACCGGTTCATCTGATATACAGAAATTTTAAATGTAAAACAAAATGATTTCACATAAAGAATTTTTTTATAGAAAAGCAGAAAAGTCGGTCGCTTCTAGCAGATATACTACGGATTTAGCTGGTGAAAATGTGTTGAATAACAAGAACGAAGAGGTAAAATTTGAATGGTTACTAAATACTCAAATCTTTAACCAATGACATCAGAGAAAAATTAGATCTTTGGTTAATAAATCAGACAGTCAAGTCTGAGAACTCATAGAAAAATAAGGTGCTCATTTTTAGAAAAAACTTCACTGAAAACAGTGCATCACATTCAAA